CAGCAGGGACAGAGCATGGACTAATAAGTCAGGAGGCTCTGTCCCCAGCAGTCACTACACTGTGTTTCATTTAGATCACATATAAAATAGGGCTAGTAATGCAGACTTCCCCCTTTGTGCAGTTTCAAGTTCTATCACACTGCTACTGTAAGCCATGGCAACACATGGTTCCTGGTGATTATTGAGATGGTATTATTAATTTCAGCGCTGTCAGCAAAAAATGCAGCTCTTGAAACCAGAACCTTTTGGGCATAACATCTCCCTTATTTGGTTATGTGGAGCTTGCCAGACCATCACATACACCTCTCTCTCTCTCTCTCCCTGTCGCTCACTGAAACAATTTAGTTGCCTCTTATTTTCCATAGCTTTTCTGTGATGTTATAAATATCTAAACAGTTGCAAACTAAACAGCGTCCTTCTGTAGACTATTTCCTAGATATTCCTACAAGGGTAAAATGCTTACCACTGAGACATCTTTTAAATTTTACCTTTTTTTACTTATAGTAGAAAAATACATATATAAGCTCCTATTGGTAAATACACTTAGAGTTACTTATCTTGTACAATCCTAAAAATAATTTCCTCCCACTAATAGAATTTTCTGTATCGCTGACTGTATCCTGGTAGTCTCCAGTATCCCCTGCGTCCATCCATTTTAAACCTCCCATATAATCATCCTGAGTTCACATTATCTTCAGGGTATCATGTTGTAGCTATCTGTCATCCTTCCAGATGGACCTGTCTCAATCTTCCCCATATGGGCATAGAAGTTGAAAGAATCAAAGCCCCTTCTCCAAGGAGCCAGCAAGCAGTTAAAGGATCAGAACTTTTTTTATTTTATGAGGTTATTTCTATAGAATGCCAATTTGAGCACAAAACAGATGCATGCTAGAATTTCCTTTCAAAGTACTTCCTTTCCCAAATCACCATATAAGGCTTCTGCTACTTACGCAGCTGGTGCACTCCTAGGCAGACCCATAGCATTGGTTGGTGGTGTAGATGGAAGTGAAGGCAGGACTGAGCTGAGAAAGGCAACTGGGTTCTGAATACGGCTGGTTGGAGAGAGAGGATTTGGAATTACACTCGGGGGCTGAAATTGGTTCATGTTGGATATAGAGATCAATAATGGAGGCGACACTGATTCTTTGGGGCTTACTGGAGATGATTCAGTTTTATTTGTAAACCCTCCTGGAGACCTTGATTGGACTGGCTGAGGAGGTCCCATGAGATTCTCTTTGTCATTTTCTCTTTGGATTCCTTGAGACACATTGCTGAATGCAGGCACTGGGGAGCTGGAAGGGGAGTTGATAGGTGGTGTGGTGTTCTGGGATGCAAGGAACTGTTTAGGTCGGGTATAACTGAATGTCTGTGAAGGAGAAACTTTGGCCTGCTTGTACAATGTTGATGAAGGCTTCTGGTTGACTGAAGTAGCAGAGTTCAATGTTCCTGTGTTGAATGGCAACTCCCTTGGAGATGTAAAAGATGAATGATGTAACTGCTGCTGTTCCAGCAAGACCTGGTTATGGAGCTGTTGTAACTGGGTGGCATCTCTATACAAAAACAAGGATGGATGAAATGTCATGGGTTGCAATAAGCTGTTACACAGATTGTATTTCCTTTTGGAAATACTAAAGCAGGGCACAGTATGGGCGGTTACTGCGCCATGCATGTGGTGCATGGGTAGGTTTTACCACTATGGCAATGTAGCTGGCAATCACATGTAGACCTGTGTGATTGCTATATTACCATAGTGTGCTGTACAGTGACATAGTGTGTTGCTGCATCACCATAGGGCAACATGTAGACACGTCCAGTATTGATCAGATTGTGTCAGCTCTGGGGCGTCAGAGACTGTTATTAACTGTGACTATACAATACTTAGCATGAAAGAGTCCCAGTTCATACCTAGTTGGGGCCAGGTTAATGCACAGGCAAACTAGGCACATGCCTAGAGCCCAAAGTGAAGAAGGTGCCTAGTTGTGCCTACTAACCGGTTAATCTGGCCCTCTGCCTAGTGATCCTAGGGCCTACAATTATATGCATAATTATAATAATATGATTATGTATACCAAGTCTGCTTACTTACAGTTTTGGTTTGGCCAGTACTGGAGGAGGCTCTTTGGAAGGTGAGGTGGGTTCTGGTATCTTTATTGCCTGACCATTAGTCCTGTCTTGGAAGTAGCCAGGTCTGATTTGGTTTGTAGACCCAACTCCATCCTCAGATGATGTTTCACTTCCTTTATCATCTTCAGGCAGTTTAAAGTGTACCCGGAGGCCTATCTTGGAACTTGACCTGGGTTCATTGTGATTGACAAGAACCCCTTCCAGTTTAGGCTTTGGGGGCTGGTCCACCACGGGGAGTGAAGGGTTGTGTAGGGAAGGTTGTTGTTCAGTTGCAATTAAATTGATTGAGCTCATTGTATGAAGGGTAGCAGTATTACTGTTGTCTTCAGGCCCTGGAAGAGCAAATATTCATGTTTTGCTGTTAGTTAAATGTGGTGAATCAATGATAACAACGTCTTAGCTGTTTCTGCTGGGAAAGCCAATGCCATGGCTAATCTTTAGAATTAATTGTTTGACTATATGCATATGATTATCTATTCCCCTAAATTTACCGAAGAACATAATTAAGTTAAAAAGGGAATCACTCTGCAATTTGGAAAATTGACTGGTGGTCAAGTGTAGTGGCCCAAGCATCCTCAAAATCAAAACTTTAATTTTAAGAAAAAATCTCTAACTTTTATTGTGAAGAAAATCTTTGAAACATGAATTAAGTACAAGCCAGTGCTATTGTTTGTCTTTTTTCCATATATCAGTGCTGTACTTCTTGATCTACTTCATGCCTTAGCAGCACAAAGCTGATGGGTAGCAGTTGAATATTTGGCCCAAGGTTTGGGCTCCATGCTATAGTTAAGGAACTGAGAAAATGGAGGGAATCCAGAGATGCTGCAAAACAATGCAAATTTTGCTTGAGAAAAGGCTCCCTGAAGGATTTGGCTCATCGTGTTACTGTGCCTTGCTGTATCTTTTCAAACAGAACTTCTCTTAATTAGAATATTTATGTCACTCCATATAGAACAAGATGAGCCAAATCCTTCAGGGAGCCTTTTCTCAAGCAACAACCTGAACCATTCATTTTACTAGAAAGAATATCTCTAAAAATGATCACTTACCTTTAACTGTTAGATGAGCGATGCTAGAGACTGTGCCATATTTATTGCTTGCAGTACATGTGAAACTCCCAGAATCTTCTGAAAACACCTCAGCAATTACCAAAGTACAAATCTCCTCTGCAGCCAATCAGAGCAATATCATTATTGTTCATAGTACATATGTTAAACCAACACAGAAATGCCTTGCCCACACTACAGCTGTTTTTAAAAAAAATTCCCACCATTGCTCAGCCTGATTTAGCTTTACCAATGTTAATTACATTGGCAGCTTTCATATAAAATGGCAACCAGCTGCCATGGGCAGCAACTGGTATTCCATCCACACTAACTTCAACATTTGCAATATAAATGAAAATAAGCAGGTGTTAGCAACATTTAGAAAACTTTAACATTTTCTCCTCCTATACACAGAGTTAGAAAACAAGGTCCCTCCCTAAACAACTTAAAATCAGATTTAGAAAAATTAAATGGACCAGATCCTCCCAGACTTCACTCAAAGTGTACTTAAAATTCCAAAATGTTAAGATGCAAGGATGGATGCAGTTTACTGAGAACAATTTAGGCAGAATAATAATGTCTGATGAAAAAGTACACAAGCCTAAATGTAAAGGTCTGATTTTCAAACTTGCAAGCTCAGTGAAATTGTACCTGCAGATCTGAATCAGAAAGTCAGTTCTTTACTCTGGGGACTAAATGTGGGCATCAAACTGTGAGTAAAAACTGTCTTTGTAAAAATGGCAGCCCGGATTGAAAATTGATCTGTAATGACGATGTTCCTACCTGACCAATGTCTGACATGTCCTGGCAGCTGCCACAAGATGATTAATAACCAAAATAGTGAGACTTTCATCCATAGTTAGGTTAGACAGCAAGGGTGGGTAGCATCCTAAGATGCAGGGCCATCCATACTGTCACCTGGTACTTGGCATTGGTAAATCCAACCACTGATACAATTCACTGATATCAGGGATGGAACATTTGATATGGCACTCTAATATTTCATTGGTCAGGGGTATGATATCCGAGGCAATGTATGACATGGGTAAGCACCGTACATAATGCTCCCCAGCTGTTAAATTGGAGAAAGTCGTACAATTGTATACCATCTGCTATATATTTGACCCTAAGAAAATAGGGGACTTTAATGCAGACTATTTTATTCATGTTTTGCCTGTGAGAAGAGTTCCAATTTGGAATTGGATCCGAAGAGTGTGAAAATTGTATTTTCTTCAAAAAATGAGAGAAACCAATTTCAGTTTTAGTGGATATTCTTCCTTTTGAGAGAGTCTGTTTTCAGTTTTATGGAACAATGCATGGTGAAGTATATTCCTGTAACATCCACTGAGGAAAAAAACCCACAATTAAATTTGTTTTGAGTTCAAACACAATAAGTTGCACCCAGAAAGATTCTGCCTCTTGATTCAAAACTGTCATCTACCTTATCTGTGTTCATTTTCTTGTTTTTTGTCTTTGTCAGATTAAATCCCCATGCTTCTATAACCATAAAACAATTAAACCTTACTTACCTGGTTCGGCCATAGAGCGAGGTTCTAAGGGGAAAAACAGTAGCAAAAGAATTACTGTACTAAGCACATTATTAATTTTACTGATATACTAGAGAGTCGCTATCAAGTCTTGTCCTAGTTCTCTGTTTACTGTAACATGGCTTTTGGGGTGAGTTTCTGTGGAAGGATCAGCAAAAAGACATTAAACTCTTATTGTCAAGAGAATGTCAATCCATCAAGTGTGTCCTGCCCTGGGTATACGAAAATTATTTCTTTCTCGGATCTTGTCTCTGGGGTTTTTTCTGCATCAGTGTCAGGAAACCAGTGTAAATGCTGCTGCAAATGGATTGTACTGCTGTGAAAAATGACTTGCATAAGGTGCAGCCCACCTGTGTTTTAAATTCATGTAAGCTGCCTTTTTATATCAGTGAAGTTCATTTACACTACGGATCAGAATTGTTTATTTTTCCTGCACTGGCTGAGGGGGCAGTTTTGAATTATGCTTTTCCTCCCAGCAGAGAACCAAGTATAATGGGATCTCAGCTGGGAAGTGTTGCTTTCCCCTCTGTCTACCAGCCTGACTAGCGCCCTGCCCTCATTCTACCTTTTTTCCCCCTTCAGAGTAGACTGTGCAGAACTGGGGGCAGTGGAAGAGGCAGTAAGTAGAAAAGAGGCCTTTGCCAGCTTCATATCAGGCAGAAATGTCTTCTGCCTAGAGGAATTCTCCTTATGGCACCTCCAGACAGTGTTAATTAACTTCATATTACACAAGCTGACCCCTGGGTTATACCCAGCAAAGTACTTCTGCTGCCATGACCCTGTTCTGCCAGCCTAAGCTGCTGTTTAATAGAGCTCAGCTTATTGTAACTACAAATTCTAAGTGCAATACATCAATGTTCTTGTTTCAACACCTATAACATAGCAAACCGTATTTCTATGTTATAGACATACTTTTCTGTAAGATTCTAAAATCGGGAGAATCTTCTATCAGCGTCCCTTCTCTGTACCATTCAACCTTTGGAGAAGGAGCTCCTTTTACACGGCATTCAAAAACTACCAGTTGACCCTCAGAAGCTGAAATGTCTTGCAGCATCTAAAATGTAAAAAAGATCATCAGAAATTAATGATTCCAGAACTAAAATTGATTCTCATTTTAAAAAGATGTTACCAAATCATACAAATCTTCAAAAGCCTATAACGCAACAGAATTTCTTTTTATACAACCATAATAAGAAATGAAGTTTGTAATTATTCCAATATTATAAAAGCCTAAGTCTGTCTGTCTGTCCATAATGCTTTATTCGCACTCTGATTGGCTGACAGAAACAGTCAATCTGAGTGCTCCAAGCGTGGGGGAGCGCTGCCATGATTCCGAAGCTGTGCTGAGAACCAGACAGAGAGTTGGGGAGCCGCAGGCCTGGCTCCCCCACCTCGTTTCCTGCAAGAGGCAAAACAGCGACAGCATGGGGCGTTAGGTGGCGGCACTCCATCCCAGCCTCCTCCCCCCCCCACGTCGTTCTTGACAGGCAATTGGCTGGTATATGTATAAAGGTGTAATTGGCTTGCTTCATTTTGAAATGTGCCATAAAAGTAAATTACCTTTGTGAACACAGGAGCAGCTATTATGGGTCTTCCATCCAATCCTTGCAAATAGTTAGTAGGGCTTTGAACCTGTAAGTTAAGACACAGGCAACTGTGAATTTAAGATATAGCATAGATATTGTGTCTTGCACTGGGGAAACGTATCCATAATACTTCAAATGGAATCCCTTGAAAGGTCAGAAGACTCGATTTCAAATCTATTTGAATACCTACCTTCAGAGTACTTCCTGTTCACAGGTTAATAACTGTACACTAGGTTAAACACACTCTGATGACCTGGCCCATGATGGCTCACCAAAATTCCCTAAGTGGCCCTCCGGCCCAAATAATTGCCCACCCCTGCCTTAAAGAGAGGCTTATTCATCAAGCAGAAGTGGGAATGCCAGCACAGAAAAGATTCCAGACAGACACTGGCATTATTCAACCCTGATCGCAGCAAATCTTCATAGTTACAGTTAAAATGTGGGGAGCTGCCAGAGTCCTGAGTTAGTGCTCCCACCCTCCCTTTCACTTGTGAAGGTGACCAGTAGCTAGGTGTTATCAATGGTGGAAAGATTTCTTCCCACTTTTTCCTACTGTCTTTAAGTAAAGTAGGCCTTAAGATAAGATGTCAGATATGATTATATTGCAGTTAAGCAGGGTGATGTGCCTGGCTTTAAAATGTTTTTAAAAGTTTTCTTCTGAAACGACTAGTTACTCATTTTAAGAAGAATTGTGAAGAAGGCTATCATCAATTTGGAAAGGGGCTTTGTTGGATGAAACAGCATTTCCACAGCAAAATATTGGGTGAGTTGTTGGCGCACGGGAGTTAATGATCTCATTTTGCCTTTGCCTTCAGTAAAGTCAGGATTTCACCATGATTTCACTTGATTCTCCAGTCCAAAGTATAGGTTTTACAGATGTTTCATAGTTTCATAGTTGGTAGTGTCAAAAGGGACCTGAGCAGATCATCAAGTCTGACCCCCTGCCATGGCAGGAAAGAGTACTGGGGTCAAACGACCCCGGCAAGGTGTTCATCCAGCCTCCTCTTAAAGACCCCCAGGGTAGGAGCCAGCACCACTTCTCTTGGAAGTTGGTTCCAGATCCTAGCCGCCCTGACAGTGAAGTAGTGCCTCTTGATATCTAGCCTGAATCTACCCTCTGCCAGCTTGTGACCATTATTTCTTGTCATTCCTGGTAGTGCTTGGGGGAACAGGGACTCCTCCAATGCCTGCTGGTCCCCTCTGACTAGTTTGGAAATGGCCACTAGATCCCCCCTCAGCCTTCTCTTGTGGAGGCTGAACAGGTTCAGGTCCCTTAGCCTCTCCTCGTAGGGCCTGCCCTGTTGATCCCTGATCATGCGGGTGGCCCTCCTCTGAACCCGCTCCATGTTGTCCACATCCCTTCTGAAGTACGGTGCCCAGAACTGGACACAGTACTCCAACTGCAGCCTGACCAGTGTTGCATAGAGGGGGAGGATCACCTCCTTGGACCTGTTTGAGATGCGTCCCTACACATGTTCATTTTGGCATCAATAACGACTCCAAGATCCTTTTCTGCCTCTGCACTGACAAGAAGAGAGTTCCCCAGCCTGTAGGTATGTGAGAATTCCTTCATTATAGCTCTCTTCCTAAAGTGGCTAAAGGCTCCTAATAGATTTGATTACTTCAGTTTTGCTTATTAAATAACTCTTTCACTGTATTGCTTCATAACAGAAGCAAAATAAATGAATGTAGAGAAATCATAACTCACTAAAGATACAACTGTACACACATCATCTGAAGGGAGCTGCCAGGCTCTGGAATGGGCTCCCAAGTGAGGTGGTGCTCTCTCCTACCTTGGGAGTCTTCAAGAGGAGGCTGGACAGATATTTGACTGGGGTGTTATTTGGCTGGGGTGATATGACTGCAGCACCCGTTCCTGCCTGGGGCAGGGGGTCAGACCTGATGATCTGTATAGGTCCCTTCCGAACCTAAGCACTATGAAACTATGAAGTGGTTATGCCACAATACAAAAGGAATTCATAGGTAGTCACTTAAGCCATTTTTAAGCATGTTTGTGCTAGTAGCATAGCTCAATGTAGAATTTGTGCAGGATCCAGTCCTGAATATTTAAACTGTAGAACAAATGTTATTCTCTAGAAGATTGGTACTAGTAGTAATCTTTTTGGATCTGCTGTTGTCTGTGTACCACTAGCCCTATTTAAAGAAATTGCTTTATTGTGTCATGAAAAAGGGGCTGAATTCTTCGTTACAATGAACTGTATCAGTTCTGGGTACCATGCCTGGTGGCAAATGGCAAGTTTCTTTCAAGTGAGCATTCTGACATGTAAAATACTTAGGGGTGTTAATTCTGGGTAATGTTAGCCCTATTGTTACCTGTCATCTCTGTGTTCTTGGGGAACCCTGGTACAGTATGCAGCCTGTCTGACTCTCAAAGGACTCAGCCCCACTCCACACCTGAACAAGAACTGATTAGAGCAAGGACTTACAAAAGACAATGAAGATGTAGTGGGAGACGCACCTAAGCCCCTCCAGACAAGGGTGATAGGAGTGAAGCAACTCCCCTGATCTCATTTACATGGGAGATGGAACCGGATGACAACTCATTTACATGGGAGATGGGACAGGAAAGCATCTTCATTAGCATTCAGGATGGAGAACAGATTCCAAGGCAAGGACCACACTGAATTCTGGGACCAGAGAAGCAGGGAAACACTGCATGATGGGGGATCCCTGCTCCAAATGCTAATCAACCCACATCTGCACACACCCAGCTCAGCATTTATCAGACCAATTCCAGCAATGGCTCCTTTATTGGTACCCAAAACATTGAATTTACCTGTCTGTATTGTGAGTTTCCTCAGAGTAATGCCACCCATAACCAGCAGTGATCAGTTCCTATTATCCAGCATATGAGCCATTGTTTACCCATAAACAAACCTAGTGCTCTCCCTTGAGCCATTGCTAGTTCTCTACAAAACCCCCTACCCAAGCTCAAGTTTCTGTCCTGGTGCTTGGAGCCAAAGCTGCACCAGTTCCACTCCTTTTCTGCCTGGAATACCTTCATTGAGCATGCTGGGGGCTCTGCCTGTCTGCAAGCTCCAAAAACACCTGGGAACCTCGAATGGTTCAAGCTTCGCTGAGTGGTGAGACCCCACCTCTCTCTTTCTCTCCTGACTCCAGGAACCTGACTCTTGTTCTCTTACTCCAGGCACAGCTTTCTAAACTGGACTTTTGCTGATCGCTCTCTCTTTCTCTCTCTGACTCCAGGCACAGCTTTCCAAATCTGACTTTTGCTGATCAAACTTGAGCTAGACTTTCCCAAATACCTAACTGAAACGATGTAACTGTTTTATTTGTGTCTCTTGTATGGATGTTACTACTGGTATCATCATGAATTCATATACCTGGCAATAAGTAATGTTTATGGTCAAGCTGGTGGCTATATTTTCTCTCTGAACCTCACTTACTCTTCCTTCCCCTTCACCTTCCTGTCATATTGAATGTAATATTTGAATGTTTGTAATAGTTGCCCATTAGCCAGTTTAGGAAGAAGACAAGATTCATCTTCTTATCTTAGACCTGGAAGGGTGTGGGCAGTGGGGTCCCGCAGGGCTCGGTCCTTGGACCGATACTCTTTAATGTCTTCATCAGTGACTTGGACGAGGGAGTGAAATGTACTCTGTCCAAGTTTGCATATGACACAAAGCTATGGGGAGAAGTGGACACGCCGGAGGGCAGGGAACAGCTGCAAGCAGATCTGGACAGGTTAGACAAGTGGGCAGAAAACAACAGAATGCAGTTCAACAAGGAGAAATGCAAAGTGCTGCACCTAGGGAGGAAAAATGTCCAGCACACCTACAGCCTAGGGAATGACCTGCTGGGTGGCACGGAAGTGGAAAGGGATCTTGGAGTCCTAGTGGACTCCAAGATGAACATGAGTCGGCAGTGTGACGAAGCCATCAGAAAAGCCAATGGCACTTTATCGTGCATCAGCAGATGCATGACGAATAGGTCCAAGGAGGTGATACTTCCCCTCTATCGGGTGCTGGTCAGACCGCAGTTGGAGTACTGCGTGCAGTTCTGGGCGCCGCAATTCAAGAGGGATGCGGATAACCTGGAGAGGGTCCAGAGAAGGGCCACTCATATGGTTAAGGGCTTGCAGGCCAAGCCCTACGAGGAGAGACTAGAGAAACTGGACCTTTTCAGCCTCCGCAAGAGAAGGTTGAGAGGCGACCTTGTGGCTGCCTATAAGTTCATCACGGGGGCACAGAAGGGAATTGGTGAGGATTTATTCACCAAGG